TCTAGTAAATGCATCATCCACCACACCCGCGCGTCGAAGGAAGTTCTGAACTCCCATAGTTGCAATTACAACAGTTGTTTGCACTTTAAAATTATGACTTGGCATCCGATCGAGTATTTTCCAACGACTTTTCCACACACCAATGCACTTTCGATTATATTCCTGCACGAGGAGTGACGAAAATTAAACTTTTCCCGAGCATTGCGAAAGTTCCGCCTGCGACCGGTCGCCGCATCGTAGAACTGCTGAAAGTGGTACATTATATCCGAACTCTTATACGGCGCCATGTACCCAAGTCGATGCGCAAACCCCGAGTCGACGAGATAATATTTTCCGGGACCTGGTTTCGGGAAGTCAATTTTCAGGTCGTGTATGACCCTCGACAAGATTCTTGCATCATGACAATTCCCTGTCGTGCCAGCTAGCACGAAGGTGAAACACAAATTGAAATCGCATGCCGCGAGCTCATTCTGTGTCAGAATTCCTTTGCGCCCGATGAAACTAACGTGTGTACCGTCAATAGCTCCTATGCAGTCTAGGAATAATCCATGTTGGTTAAGATTCGGTACGTGGTGCTCCACATCGTGATTGTAGTGCGGATGCGGTTTAATTAACTGCTTTGACAACTGAACGACTGCCTCGAGCACAAGTTTGAAGTAGCATCTAATTGTTTCCAGCGAATGGTTGAATAGCGTCTGCACCTATGTATATCCTTTTCCATGCGCCAGAATGCAAAGAAACATACCCACTTGCTCGTACACATTTATATGTTGCTGGCTGCGCAGGCCGTACTCATCTCGTAGCACGTGGGTAAATGCTCGCAGCATGGCAAGGTACATGTGAAACTCCGCGTAGCACTGTTGAGGGCTACAATTCATAGCATCCAGCATAAACATGTGCCCGTTGCGAGCGAACGGATAACAAGCAACACGAAGTCGTTGTTCATGGTAGTAGTTACATACACGCACCTCACTTATTTGACAATATTGAAACCACTCAATCATATCTAACAATAGCCATTCCATAATTCCCTCGTCGTCATCGACATCGGATGTTTGACGCAAATCGTAGTTCATTTATAGTATAAAGCTGAACACTTACTTTCTACTGCAAATGTAGAAGACGATGTTTTCCTAAGCCAAAAATGGAACACGATGCTTTTCTAAGGGCAATGCAATTATGTTATTTTCCCTTGCCCTTTATAGTGAAAAGGAAAGTACAGTTTATACCAATAATTCACGTAGGACACATACATGTACAGCTAACTTGTGAGGGGGTAATTTGTTTTACCAACTAAAGTACATATCCTCACATCAATGATAAAGAAAAACTACAGGCTTTTTCAAAAGTGCAATCTGCTGCAAATCTAAAAGAATCACAATAATGGAGTGCACGTAAAACAATTTATTTCTCAGCGCATGGAAAGTGGTTTTCACAGTGCATAAGGAAAACTACAAACGGTTGACAATATGTTAAACTCGAATATAAGAACAGTACACATCTAGATAATACAAACGGTACACATAAAAAAATACAAACAATAAAGGAATGCACGGAAAATGTTTATACCTAAAAACTACGCCAACAGTTCCATTATACTTGAACACCAAGAAGGAAGGAGAAACCGTGCCACGACTCTGTACGCAAGTTGCATGAAGTAGACATCACGGCGGCTGTCCTTTTCTGTACTCTTTCCAGCCCCACTCAACCCACGCAAACTTCAGGTCCGCAGTGGCTTGCATGTCCAAGATCTCCCTTTTTTTTTTCCCGGAGGAATGAGCACGTCCAGTAGTACAAATCGGTATACTCTTGCAGTCGACCCGTGGACATTAGCTCCTACATGCATGTTTTTGGGTCTGACATAGCTAGTCCAATGATCTGGTCTATTTTGGCCGCCATCTTCTCACTGGCAGTGGTCGCACAATCCACTGAAAATGACACGTCCCATGATGAAAACTTCTTCTTCCCCTTCCCTCGAGATCTGCATGCTTTCCGTTTATCACCACTATGCGGGCCCTACATATCCATCGTTGCTGGAGCCGATTCGGGGTCGACGCCCTCGTCACTGGAGCCGCTACTCTCCACATCCACCGGGATCTCATCACGGTGATCTTCAGCAGCACTGTCTTCGAACATTGCGAATCCTATGCGACACAGCTTGCTCGGAG